TGGGAAAAAAAAACTATCATTTTACAGAAAACAACATGTACAGAAACATTTTAAAAGCCCAACTTTTATTGAAGTGTGTTCTGCATATTCCTTCTGTCTCTATTTCAAACTATTTTCTATTTCATTTTTAATCTTGAGATTTCTACTCAATGATTGTCATAGCATGCTTGCTCTAATTTAGGCTATTGTCTCTGGAACCAGGATCTCTTCACATGTTTAGTTTTACATGGTGGTTGTATTCATCTTTCTGGAATGTTCATTTCATAAAAACTAACCTAACAATGCTGTGTTCATAATAGGCCTGTATTAACGTGCATTGGAAACAAGGAGAGCACCAGCATCCTCATCCTTCATGAACATGACAGAAGGACCTAAAAATGAACTGTTGAGCACAAGCAGGAACAGCTCAGTGCTGGGAGCCCCAGCCCCCCTTGGAGCGGGTCCAGAGAAGGGCCACTAAGATGATCAGAGGGCTGGAGCACCTCTCCTGTGAGGAAAGGTTGAGGGACCTTGTTCAGCTTTGAAAAGAAAAGGCTCGGGGGTGACCTCATTGTGGCCTTCCAATACTTGGAGGAAGCGTATAAACAGGAGGGGGAACGGCTGTTTACGAGGGTGGGTAGTGAAAGGACAAGGGGGAATGGTCTTAAACTGAGACAGGGGAGGTTTAAGTTAGATATTAGGAGGAAGTTTTTCACACAGAGGGTGGTGACACACTGGAACAGGTTGCCAAAGGAGGCTGTGGATGCCCCATCCCTGGAGGCATTCAAGGCCAGGCTGGATGTGGCTCTGGGCAGCCTGGTCTGGTGGTTGGCGACCCTGCACATAGCAGGGGATTGAAACGTGATGATCATTGTGGTCTTTTTCTACCCAGGACATTCTATGATTCTATGATGCTGTGATTCTATGAATATACTCCTTGTAACAGCAGCATTCACGCAAGACCCACAGAGACCACAGCAATGGCTCAGGCCTCTTTACCTCTTGATGCTGTAATAATGCAGAGGCAAAACAACAGATTCATGTGAAAACTAGGACACTTCTAGCAATGGACATCCGTTGTTAACAGAGTCACTCCACTTGACTACATGCTTCCTGGCTACAGTCCATCTTTAAAAAAATTATTCCTCTTAGCATCTGCTTAAATTGTATCAAACTAATATAGTTTTAAAATTTTGTTTTGTGGAATCCTTTATTTACACACATGACTTTCATACATTCCATCCAAAAGTATGAAGGATTGCCTTCATATTCAACACAAAAATATTTTGGACCAAAATTCCACTTAGAGGAATGAGAAGGAAAAGCATTTGAATATACTAGCCCCTTGTCAAATATCATAAAGCAGTTCATTCTGTGAGAGAGTACAGCCAATTTCACAGATGCCAGGACTAGAAATACATTTTTTTAAGACTTATCTAGAAGCATAAGCCTACTCTAGTGATACATGTGTCATGAGATTAGCCTACAGTGAGAGAAGGAAACAATTATGTTTCCTGAGAGTACCAAATACAAACCATCTGAACTAAATGGAGACAGACAAATTAATCTCTGAATCACACCAGTGTAAGTCCAGAAAGTCTCCAGATATTTATGAAAGCCTCCCTGGACTGAATCCAGGTAACATGAAATATAATTCATCCCATCCTACAGATAATAAAAACAACACTTCCGGATGTTTTTATTCCATATTGTAAAGCATTTACTTTTTCTGTCCATTCAAACGTACTTTAATATGATCAGAAGTGTCATATTCCCTTTCCTTCCCATTTTTTTCTGAATGGTTATGTAGTGAAAATGAGTCTACTTCAGGGAAGAGAAAGAACTTCAACCAAGATCTTCCACTCACGTGAAGGGGAAACTATGGATTACTAGACTGTCCAAAATTATGAAATCCATTCAGTACAAAGGAACTTTGACTGATTTTCAGTTTTTGCATTGACTCAGATGCAGTCAGAAGTTTTCTAGTTCAGCTTGAGGACAGCTGAGGTTTTATCTCACTTTTTTTGTTTTTTTTCCCTCTCATTGGAAATAAATGCAGATTGGTTAACACTGGCTAAACAGATTGACACTCTGGTCAATATTGGTTCTCATCTCACTTAAGGGCAGGTTTCTACAGAGCCTGTGTTAAATCTGCACCAAGCAGCATGAATTAAAATTACTCTTGACAGTATTTCAGGAAAATATGTTGCATGTTCCTGTATTTTCCTGAACAGGAGCACTCTGCTGAGCCTGCAATGTTCCTTTAACTCTGACATCTCAGAATATAAAAGCAACAAATCATCTATTATGTTTGGAATAAGACCTTTGGGGTGGGTAATCAAAACTTTTACAAGATGGATCTAGACACAGCAGACATCAAACTAAGTAAAGGCTGGGAATTTCTGTTCTGGGTGTAACCTAACTTAACGTTACTCAAGAGAAAGGAGACTGCTGATAAAGTATGTCAACGGGAGAGATGGCAGTCTCGCTGATGAGATATAGGAAAGCTATAGTGGTTAAAACTTTCACTGAGTAAATACTGAGTCTACATTTTTTAATACTGTTCCCACTGTTACAAACAGTTGTGGTATCACCTCTGCAAAGTGGTGATTGCACTACAATTGCACTTAGCCAGCAACCCCATTATTGTCACAGACAACAGCAAGAAGTTATCTACCTTGAACTCCTCCCACTCATCCCCAAAGTGTCTGTGAGCTTCCACTATAAACTGAGGTCAAAACAAGGAGTCTGTTGCACTTGATTTTCATTAGGTGCTTTGATCTTTGTAGAGAAACTGCTGTATAAGAGAAAAGTGCACTAACAACGTTACTCAGATATCTTGAGAAAGGAAGATAACTAATAAAGAGAGATGGCACACTATGGAAGAGAACTTCTGTGGAAGAAGAATGAAACGACCTATCTGAATGTCAGGGCCATGAGCGCATTAATGAACCTGAATGGATAACAACAAACCCTGGGGCTTCCATCCACGTGCCCTCTGCTCATTCATTCAGAGCTCAGTTTCACCACAGGCCTGCCCTTAGTGACTGACAATGGGAGCAGCACCATGTTCTGCCCCATCCCCTGCACTGACCTTGGGCTTATGTCACAGACTTGTTCCTAAACCATCTCCTGCAGTTCCCACCTGGACTCCCTGGATCGGTCTCATCACCACGTCTGAGACTGTTGGCTGACCACCACGTGACTGTCACCTGGCTGTTCACACCCTGGGATTACACCTGGTCACAGAGCTCCCGCATGTGCTGCTGTCACCCCTTGCACACAGACATCTGCTCCAGGGGTAGCCCCATTTTTGCTGCTCCCTGACACAGAAAACAACAAGCAAGATTAGGAAGAGAAAAAGAAAACCCTCACCAACCCCAGTTTTATTAGGAAATCTTGATCATTAATTAGACTATGTACCAGAAGGAGACGGTAACTTCCACTAGATTTTCCCAGCACTTAGCATATGAACAACTCCCTTCCACCCCCAGGTATAATTGTCCAAAAGTCACATCCCTAGTGAAATGAGATCATGTCAAAACAATAAGCATCAATTTTTCCAGCACCTCTGTCTCTACACAGTAAAGAGCCTGTACTGATTTTCAACACATCTCAGTTCCTGCTAACTCACCACTTCTACTGCAGTTATGTACATATCTCCCATGACGTCACTGCTTGATGTAGTTTGACTGCTCTTCGCCTGCAGATACACAAGTTGAGCAATGTTAATAAGGCTAGCTCCAAAATTGTTTCCACTCTGTCCTGAGCCTGATGCCTGCTAGAGCTGTGCAAGAGCTGAAGGACTTGGATAATTAATACTTTACCTTCTAAATACTTATCTCAATAGAAAACTCCCACTGCAGCTTTACTCTTATAACTAGAAGCCCTTATGCTTACCAACAGATGTATTTTACCATTACTGCAGTAAGGCTAGCTGCAGATATTATTCCTAATGCTGTCATAACAAAAAACTTTGGGGAATCAATTCAGAAAATTCACACGAAAAAAATGCACGTTGGTCTTCACATACCTTACTCAGAAGAATTGGATAGGAAGCAAAGAACAGAGGCATAAGAAAACCCCATAGGTATAACAGACATCTATTTCCACCAAGTACAAAACCTTTGTTCAAAATTTTAGTTTAGCACTCCGCAGGACTTACAGAGCAAATGTGTGTAGCGGGGTCACGTAGGAGGTAAGCCAGGGCTTGAGCAGTTCCTAAATTCAGCTTCACAGCTGTGTCTATCATCCAGACAGGCCCTTCCTCTTGTCCTTAGATGCTGTGCTCAGCATGCAAATATCTCTGTGTTACAGTGATGTGGAGGTGTTGTGTTAGACATCCTACTGTGACTTTTACAAAGTCACACATTAAAGTGTTTTCTTATTAGACTGCAGTCTGTTGCAGCATATGCAGTTATTTTTTCTTCCTTTCTAGCTGTTTTAATTTGTAAGAACACAGAATCACAGAATAGTTTGGGTTCGAAGGAACCTAACAGTCCACTCAGCCCCAACCCCTGCCATGGGCTGGTTGCCCCCCCCCACCAGCTCAGCTGCCCAGGACCCATCCAGCTTGGCCTTGAGCACCTCCAGGGATGGGGCACCACAGCTCTCTGGGCAGCTGCGCCAGGGGCCTCACTGCCCTGAGTGAAAATCTTCCCCGATGTCTAATCTAAATCTCTCCTTAGTTTCCAACATCGATTTTAAGTTAGAATTACACAAGAAAACTGAAAAGTGTTGAAAACGGTTGTTCCCTTCGACTGTTTTCTACAGCCCTCATAGTTGATTTCACAGCTAACGAAGGATAAGTTTCTCCAAGCACGTGGGAAAACTTCAGATCCCTCTGCGGCCTTAAATCCTGACGGCGCGAAGCACGAGCAGAGGCACAACGATGCGTGTCTCCTCAGCCCCACCCCGAGCCTGCGCCGAGCCGCTCCGGGCGGGCCGTGCAGACATGGCTGCCTCTCGGGCCCGCCCCGCCCGCCCCGCCCCGCGCGGACAGGCAGCGCCCGGCGTGCCGCAGCCATCCCGGCACCGCGCGGCTGTCTCCGAGGCCATGCGGCTCTTCTCTCCCGGCGCTGCCTGCGCGCTGCGGGCGCTCGCGCTGCTGCTCCTGCTCGGCCCCCGTGAGTAGCGGCAGCGTGGGACGGGCGGTCTGCGGGGCGATGCCCGTGGCCGCGTCCCCGGCGCGGGGAGCGCTGGGGGCTGCGGCTCGGCTCGGGGCGGCGGCGGGCCGGGAAGTTGTGTGTGCCGTGCTGGGGTGGGCTCCGTTCGGTTCCCGCCCGCGTGGCTCGTGGCGCTGCGTTCCGTATTGCTGCGCGGGCTGCGCTGCCCGCTCTCGGGCGCTGTCCTGGCGGCCGGAGGGTCCCGCTGCTTTCCAGCTCCGCCGTCGGGGCGGGCGGTGCGCTGTGTGTGTTGCCTTGCGCTACGGCGGCGCGTCCGCTCTGGGACTGACCCAATTTCTCGAGCCCGGTTCGGGTGGCAGACGACCACGTTCAGGCGATAAATGAAGTGCGCTCAGATAAAAGGCGAGATGCAGAAATCTGAGCTGCCTGTGCTGCTCTTTCGAAGGCTGAAATGCCCCATGCTGTACGTCACAGCTTTCTAAAGTAAAGATGCAGGGGGGAAAAAAAAAAAAAAGTACCAAGATTAACTTGAACGAAAGAACGTTACTGCACTAAAAATAAAATAAAATTAAATTAAAAAAAAGCTTTCTAAAAAAGATTTTTAAAAATGTATTTGCAGTGTGCGTCCCGCTCTGCTGGGATGCTGGCATCGCTGTGCTGTGCCAGGCTGCCACCTGCCCCTGTACAGGTGGGCCTCGGCTGCCTTTGGCTGCGTGGTTCTGCCCTTGTGTGCTGTGGCTGCTCCCAGGGCAAGGCCCGGCTCACCACCATGAGGCACTCAGGTGTGCTCCTTCCATTACACTTGGTTGTGTGATCTCCGTTATAACCTGCTCACAAAAACCATGCCCTTTTGAGGCTCACCTCAGTGCACCTGCAGAGGTACTGGCTGTGGGGTGGGGCAGGGAGCCCTGCAGAAGTTCCTGGGTTTCAGTGTGTTTGGATGTGCCTGGTTAGAACACAGCTGCATTTGGGTCGGCCTCCACTTATTTGTGTTTCTTTTAGCAGCATTACTGTGCTTTGCGAGGAGTGCTGCATGAGAAAGTGAGAAACTCAACAAATAGTATGGGTTACAAAACATGAAAGTGGCAGCAGGTTTGCGCTCATTCCTGTTAAGATTTTAGGGCCAACTGGTTATTTCCATGTGATGCTGTTCTTTTTACTCTGCTAGAAAGTTTGTTTCTGTGTCAGGTAAGTAGAAGAAACATTTAGCAAAATATTATGATCTACAAAAATCCAAGAACCCACTGTTCTGTAAAATCCAGCTGGATCTACATCTTCCTTTCAAGTACTGAAGACATACTTAGAAGCAGGAGGAGACTGACTTTTTACACAGTCTAGTAGTGGTGGGGCAACAGGGAATGGCTTAAACTGAAAAGGAAGGTTAAGGTTAGATGTTATGAGGAAATTCTTTACTCGGAGGTGCGGCCCTGGCACAGCTGCCCAGAGAGCTGTGGTGCCCCATTCCTGGAGGTGCTGAAGAGCAGACTGGATGGGCCCTGGGCAGACTGGTGGGGGGAGCAATCAGCATATGGCAGGGGTTGGAACTGAGTGATGTTTAAGGTCCCTTCCAGCTCAAACCACTCTGTCGTTCTGTGATCTCAGTGAGGAGACACAAGGCAGCCCACCCCATCCAGCTCATTCAAAAGACAGCTACAGCATCTCTGGTGGGCGCACCTGCACTGAGCTGCTCATGAGACCAGGAAAAAGCAGCAGCAGTGTCTCCAGGCCTGATAATGAGTGTGGTGTTTTGGATGTGGTATGTCTCTGTACTTCATTTAAATCCTTGCATGGCAGCAAAAGGTGTACCTGTGTTTCAGTCTCAAACTGACTGAAGCTGAGTATCAGTTTGATCCCTGCTGTTTCCATAAGCATCTGCGTAATGGTTTCTTTTGCAAGACTGTGAGATGGATTTCACAATGCTGAGGCATGGCAACCTTTCCAAATTGCCGCAGAGATAATCCTGTGTGATCTCTGTGCCGGGCTCATGCAACAACCTTCTGTTAGCTCAAGGCCGTTTGAAAAATCAGTATCAAAATCCCTTGTTGAGTCAAGGGAAAAAGAAGAATGGAGCGTTCAGATAGCAAGTCTTGGGATTTACAGTTTGTCCGATTTACAGATTGCCTGTTGCAATGGATTTAGGGCCACTGGGTAGTTCATGTTTTAATCTCCAGAATTTGAGTTTCATCTGTTCCCACTCGAAGTTGGAGCATGCTGGGGGTGGTGGTGTTCCTGTTGCTGCTGTTACCATTCCAGCACTGTGACTCGAACATGTTTGGATTGATCAAAGGCCGCTGTGCCAGCACAGATCTTCGCAGCAAGCTGTGCGCTGTCAGTGCTTCCCTACTTTGTTGTTGTTATATTTAAACTAACAGAAGCAGAATGGCTTGGAGATAAACCTACCTCCTTAACCTGCTTTGCATCAAACTTGAAAAGGAAAGGTTCCCAGGCACAGTTTGGATGACTTTTGAAATGTCCACAAAGTGAATATGTAAAGCTGTGCTTAGAATAAAACATGAGTCCTATTCCAACATCTTTCTGGAGCGCTGGGTTTAGTTAAGCCAGGGTATAAAGCCTGAGAATGCTCAGAGATGTGCTTATCTTCCTCATGAGTGTGGGTGTGAGCAGACCACCCCATCTCACGCTGGGAACTGCCTGAGTTGTGCCACTGTTGGTGCGTGGGTCTCCTGCCAGACTGCACCTGCAGGGAGCTGCAATTCAGCGTGTGCCTCAGTTGGAGACTGTGCATTTCTAACATTAAGAGCTTGTGGGAATTACCCACCGTGTTGGTTTTTACCGGATACAGTGAAATTATGTCAATTTAGAATTACATCCTGTTTATTTTCAGCTCTCACATCTATTTCTGTATTTGAACACTGCTCCTGGAAGCTACCTTCCAGCCAAAGCTGGAGGAACTGGATTGGTTCTGCTCTTCTGGAAGTTTGTGCGTCCAGATTGTCTCAGGCTTACAACTTCATATGCATCAGACCACCAAAACTACAGAGAGGCCCTGAAAGTGCTTGCTGCAACCAGCTGTGCTGTGGCATCTGGCAGGAAGCACGCCTGCCTGCAGTGCATCCCAGCCCGCCACAGGCACTGCTGTTTGTAGCTGCACCTCTGCTTGACCTTGAAGAGAGGAATGCATGGAGCTGTATGATGAAAAGCCTGCTTGTCCCCTTTCTCTGTCCTTTTGTGGTATCTGGAGCTTTGGTGCGTTGTCGGAATCAGGCATTTCCTTGATTCAGTGCATCGTGAAGAATGAACACAAAGATCTTTTTTCTCCTCTGAATCACAGCATGAGCAAACAACAGCAGATTTTCTCCTCCCAGGATTTCACACCCCAACATTTCAGCTCATCCTGTGGCCTCAAAAGGCATACTTGCTCATGCACAGAGCTTCCTTGCTGCCACATCTATACAGAAGGGTGTAATGCTTCTCCCTTTGCTGTGACCTAGGATGTGCTTACAGTTTCCCTGGCTAAAGCCTCCTGGTTTCCCCAGTGACTGATGTACACATCTTGGATACTAAACCCACTGTTTGGGGATGGAGAACAGTTTGGGAATGGTGGTGGTTTCAGATTCTCTCATTCTCACCTGTCCTATTCACGTTCCACATGTTCCAACATGGCATACCCTTTACACTACCCCTTATCAGGATGTCTTTGTCTCCTGGAGCAGCTGCAAATTAAACCAAATTAAGGAACTTAGCAGTTTTGGTTTAAAATACATAATAATAAGTATATCTTGAAGCTGGGTGAGATCTTGATCCTCTCTAACTTCCATGTCATCCTCCAGGGAGCCCATTCTGCTGACTGAGCAGGGAAGGACATTGCATGTTCTCATTTGTATTTACAAGCTTTATCAGTCTGAGCTCTTTCTACTACTGAGAAAATGCCTTATTTCTGAGACATTTAGTTCAGGTTACTTGCTTTCCTGTAACAGAATGTTGTGGTGAGTTATCAGAACTAAACAGTGCTGGACAAAGGTAGGATCCACAACTGATCCTCTTGCAGGTGTGTGAGTGCCAGGCTTTGCATTCTGCATGGTGTGTGTTTACATCTTACTGCTGCTGTGCAGAACCAGGCCTGAGGACAGACTCATCGGGTCTCTATTACTCTTAACAGTATGATATTATGTAGGGATGGAGCAAGCACTCCTCTGCCTGCAAAGGCCCTATAGGAAAAGATTCACATGAGACGTTCTCTCCTTTCTGCCATAGATACTGTGAATCATATATAATTACTGAAGGAAGGTGGCTGACTTCTTCCTCTTACTTCTTTCATTCTCCTTACATCTGAAGGAAGAAGAGAACTTTGTATTGATGGGGAAGATAAAATGGGGGATGGGAAGGAGTTCCAGTGCATGTGATGGTTGAATAGTGTGACCGTTGTCATTTGTGATGTGCTGAGAGCAAGCTGTTGTGGTACCATGCTTGTATAGCATCATTACCTAATTCCTGCGTGCAGTTCCTTAGTCATGTAGGTGCTCAAAGCGGCAGTTGCTATACCAACTGTTTTTTTCTCTTCCTGGAATTAAAATACCTAAACTAAATTGTCTTTTTTTCTTTTTTTTAAAGTTGGAAATGCCTTTGCAGAGGTGAACATCACCAACACAAGCTCTAATGCGACTTCACCACATGTAATGCAAGGTAATACTCTGGCACTTCTTTTTCTGTGTTTCAGTAGTGTTGAGAACAGTAATGTGTATTACTGCGTGGCTTGAACTGCCCAGTAATGGTTTAGCTTTTAACGGTTCATGAACAGCTGTAAGGCAAGATGGAGGTACTCTGATTGTCGCATTGATTTGCCGACAACTAAAGATATTTAGGAGAAACTGATGACAGCATAAACCATCGGTTCTTATGCCCTTAGATACCCTGGAGCAACAGGATGTTACTCCTTGCCAGAGAGGTGGAACAAAATGAGAAAGCTGTATGTGTAGAACTAGAAATATCTGCCAGCATCAATTTACAGTTAAAAAGAGAAGCAAGTAGAAAGTCTGTTGGGCTGTTATTTCAGTGCTGCTGAGGGAAAGGCAAGGCACTTGTTCATTTGAATATTCTTCATATCAAAACTGATTCCAGATCTCTTGTGCTTGAGCTTGTTGTTAAAGCACGTGTTTGTTTCAGTGTGATCTCTCTTGACTGCATTAAGGTGCACGCCTTTAAGCAGTGCATGGCGTTTAAGCCACCCATGCAGAACGGATTTTCCCTGAGTCACTTCTACTCTGTATCCCTTTGCTCATCTCATTTTCTGTTGGGCAAGAAATGGGATGAATAGCCAATGACAATAGACAAATAGCTCAATGACTCACTTTGTCATTGTACTGATTGCATCAGTGACTCACACCCAAATTCGGTGTGCATGGCTTCCTTTCACCTGTGTGAGCATGCAGTCCGCGTCCAGATGTGTTCCCGAGGTTGCAGAAGCAAGAACTCAAAACCTTGGAAAGACCAGAGCTGCATAGCTACAGCACTGGGCCAATGTGGGAAAGGTTTAGCCCTAGGTGTGTCTGTGGCTTATACTGATAGAAAAAGCAAAGTATCTGAGGAAGAACGTATTTGTAATTGTAGAATCATAGACTGTTTCTCAAAGTCAATTACATCTGTAACTTGATATCTCTGCTATCAGTATAAAAATTGTGAGTTCAGTGCTCAACGCTGGAGCTAGTTGGCAATAATTAGACCTCGAAAAAAAAAAAGAAAAAGAAAAACAACAAGAAAAGAATGATCCTGTGCATCTCCAGTGCAGAACTGGAGGGAGGGATGGCTGTTGCAGGAGTGGGAGTTTCAGTTCAACCCAGGTCATCGCTAGGCAGAAAAGGCTGTTGGCCTTTAAGAAATGTGGAAGAGGATTACAGCAGAGAGGACACTGAGACACAAAAGTAGCATGAGTAGGAAAGAAAATAAAAAAGAAAAAAAAAATTGGAAAATTAGAGGTGAGAGAAAGGAAAGAAGGACAAAAATATGAACAGTCTTTGGAAATAGGTGTGTTCACAGGAGCCTTATTGTGTAGAGACAGCATGAGCCAACATAAAGCTGCTTCTATCCCTGCGTCACAACTATGAAACGTTACCAGAACGAGCCCAGTGTGTAATTGAGATGCTGCAAAATGAAAGAAGAGACTGAGAGACAGGAAATGAAACTGAAATGGAGGAATAAAAACTGGAAAAAACATAATGCTTGAGTAGGTCAAGAGTCAGTGAGAACAGGGTTGATACTGAAGTCTGTAAGCATTTTGCAGGATAAAACCACGTGGATTGAGGTGGAATGCTTTCTGCTTTATTCCCACTTGGAGCCTGCAAACACGAAGTATTTTGCTGTTGGTACTTTATAGTAAGTTGAAGTGGAAATGAATATTAATTTTCTTGTTTTCTTCTTTTTTCTTGAAGAAAACAGCACTTTATCCAATTCCTCTGCTGCGCCATCCACACAGTCTGCAGCAGGTACGTATGTTCATCAAATAACGTATGTTATTTTGGAGCTAGCTTCTAGGACCATAACTACCCCTAAACCATACCAAATTCTGAAGAAATATCTATGAGATGTGGTTATTTGAGAAAGGCTTTATCCTTTTAGGAGATAGAGATGCAACATAAAATAATGCAAAGAGATGCCCTAGAGTGCCGTAGAAGAACAAGAAACAAAACATAAAGCTTCAGGAAATAATTCAAAAGAAGTGGGGCTGTCATCAATGTTGATTCTTTCTCTCTTCTTCCATTTTCATGGAATACAGCTGAATATGTTGTTGTGTAAACACTGCATGTATGTTTAATCATGTTTCACAGTAAATAGGTGTAGAGTGTAATGAAAGCACTGGGGCTTGTGTTTCAAGAATAAGACTGTTTCCTTTTAGGTGAAGTTCATGGCACCTTACCCAATAGAAATTAGTCTTTCTAGATCTCTTAGCCCAAAACATTGCAGTTCAAATGAGACATGAACAGCAGATCTGGGACAATCTGTCATGGTTATTTTTGCATTGAGTATCTTACCTTCACACCTTCACAAAAAAACTACAGGTAAAAATGACTTCCTGAGGCAGTACTGTTGCAGCTGTGATGCTTCAACATAAGTAATGTGTTTACAAAGCACACCTTTGTTGAAAGAAGAAACGTCTTTATCGCATCAGCTGGTAGAGTTTGAAAGCAGGTTTTTGACCTGAGACACAAACGTGCAGGTTATCTGCTTGGATTTGCAGCTCCCCAACTCTTGGCTATGTTAATGTGGGCTTATTATTAAAAGAAAAAAAGGAAAATTTTAAGAAAATGATTTTCTGGAAGAGTTTGTGCAGGCATATTTAACCACATCAGCAGAGGCTGAGTAAGAATTAATGTCATGCAGTCATTCAGTCTGTGATGCACAGATAACAGATTGTTTTTGAGAGAAGAAGGTTCTATGAATTGGGTCTCCTTCATGCCAAAAACCCTGTGAAAGCAGGGCAGAAATGTTGTGCTGACCGTAAGATACTTTGTGCATTTGTGCAATTTTATGATGATCCTAAGTCCCTGGTAAGTCATTGCACTTCCAGTACAACTCTCTGCCACATGCAGATAACCTGAGCTACCCTGATTTGCTTGCAGTTCCATTAAAACATTCATCAGTGGAGAACAAAAAAAACTTTGTAAATGCTTTTGTATAGCAAGGAAGTGGTGCAGTTTCTCATTCTATTACCTGCAGTATATACCAGTTTAAGCATGCCTTACTCAGAAAGTGGAGAGGTTCTGGTAATCCCCTTGTTGCCTTAAAGTCTTCGTCATGTGCAGAGCCACTGTAAAACACAGGTGCTTAATTAACCCTGCGCCCCAGCCCTGACTATGGGCTTCTGGCAGAGGTCTGAGTTGTGCTGTAAAAAGCAGCTTGAGCCTGTACACTACCAACCTAACAGAGAGCTGTGCCTTGCTTCACCCGATTTACAGTTCACATCCTTTTTTTGGGGGGGAGGGGCTTTTTCTTTTTGTTGTTAGAAACTTCATAGACATTAAGATAGTCCACATCCATTTTAATAACCTCTTTTGAATGAAGAGTACCGGGTTTATTACTGGATGCATATAGCTAGTTAATTTTGCTTAGTCTCTGCTTTTCATGGCAAGAATGAAAATCTTATTCCATAGGAAGATCATATTCTGTGAAAAGAAGAGTTTATTTTATGAAGACATTCAGTAATAATTACTTGTATGCTAGCACAGTGCTTATGCAGTTTGAGAGGTTAGTTACACAAAGAGTACTGCATGGTGCTAAGAGCTATCATTACACTGTATATGTAGCTCAAGCAGATATAAGATAGGTAAGGTACTTTACAAAACAAGATAACTGTCACTTAAAAGTTGTCATAAGCCTGAACTGTGCTCCTGGTGTGCATCCTTTGTAGGTAGGAAAAAAAACTTACGCAGCCTGGGTGTGTTTAGCATGATGTTCAATGAAGCACAGCTGGTCTTTTGGGGAAAAGTAATTAGGGAAATAAAAGATAAAAGGACAGATGTTTCTAGCAAATGTTCTTTCGTCTTAACTCTGTTGGTAAAATAGTATGAGTAAGTTTTCAAAGAGAAAGAAGAACAGATTGGAGCCCAATTCACGTCAGCTTCCCAAATTTCCTACATGCCTCTGAAAACCTCCCACTGATGTTCTGAAATGACTGGCACTAAATATATCACAGAAGATAAGTCTGTAGAAGATAACCAGATTTTTCTTTTAATACATGTTATATTACCAAGTGTTGTAATCTTATTAGTGATCCTTTTTTTCTTCTTTATAAGAAAGTGACGGGGAGAAAGTAATGTGCAAATTTGCTGAAATTCCTCATGATAGCTGCTTGGATGTTTGTTTGTTTGTTTGTTTGTTTGTTTTTTTGCTGACTATGTTTTCTTAAGTGTTATTAAGTACCCACAGAGTAAATACCATCTTTGTACTGTATAGTCTAATAATGATACACCTGGACCCATCAACCTCAACTTGGGCCACTTTGACACTCTGTGATGGTGGTTCAAAAAACACTGCAAAATAATAAAAATAATAATGAATTTTAAAAAATCCCAACAAACTAAAATGCCATCTGTGGTTGGTTGGCAATTGCATTCAGATTTGCCTTTTCTTCTGCTTGATGTCTTTTTTACATAAAGAATGTAGTTGCTGGGTGTGATTTCATCTCATGACTGTTGATGGTTTCCAAATAGATTTCTATTTCCTGTAACGAAGAGCTATTTGATATTTATGAATGGTTGTATATTTGGGGAGTTTACCTGCCAGTATTAAAATGTGCCCTGAACTTTATCTGATGTGTCTTACACATGCTTCATAGAGGAACTGAATTTCCTAATTGTAACAAGGTAAGCACAGTGTGGTCCTCCATCTGTCCCATCCAATGAATGTTCATTTCATGGTGTCACCTAGAGCAAAGTACAAGGATAGCAGCAAAGAGGAAGATAAATCGTATTTACTGAGGGGGAGGGTATTGGGCTGTTTCAGTAGTTTTAATGTTAAATGACCCAGAAAAGTGGCTCATAGGCCTCCTCTTTCTGAACGCTTACGTTGTCTCAGTGTTTGCTTTTTTATGTTTTTGGCATCTATGGCTGTATTGGAAGCAGTGAAACCAAAGTCTTAGCAAGGACAATGTTTTGTGCGAGGCTTCCTGCATTTTAGACCACATTTACAGGAAGAGCATTCTTTGGAAGAATTTCTGATGTTGTACAAAAAGAACAGAAACTGAGTATCAGGTTTGCTGTGGAACTGAGATGAAAACTATCCTTTATACAAGTGCTCTAAGTTTTTAGATTTAGAAAACACAAGTGCACTTGGATGTTTGAATTTGCATAATGAAAAGCTTTGATGGTGTCTAAAAATGAATCCAGATTGTATGAGACTATAGAAATAACACAGCAGTACAGAGTGCAAAGGGAGCTCTTTCACCATGAAATTATGTCATGTGTAAAAGCTGTTTGCCTCATATTATCTGCTTAGAGACGTTTCAATTCCATAAAAAGCTCATGTTTCTCATTAGCTCCTTAAAAAATAGATAATTTTCTTACGATTATTCTAGCTGGCTGCCTTCTATTAACGCTATTTGCTATAAATGTCAATCTCCTCTATTGTTGCTCTTGCATTCTGTCTCACGGTACTTCTATTCTGAATAGTTTGTTGCTTTCAGTGGGGAGGAAAGAGGAAGTGTTAGGTAGAAGCAGAATAAAAGTTAAAGATGTTAGATATCAACCGAACTTGTGAAACAACATTCCAGTCCTCTGCTTTAACCTCGGCAGTAGCCTGCTACAAAATAAATGCTACAAGATAGCAGGCTTCATTGCGTTAACTTTTCACTGTGTGTGGAAAAAATGGTGACCCTTGAGTTTAATGTATAATACGTTTAAATACACACAACCTTAATAAAATCACTGTTGTTCAAAGGTAAATTAAATCAAGTAAAATTAAATCACTACTAAAATATTCTAAGTCAGGAGTGATTCTATGGACTTGGATAGCGTTACCAAAAGACTTCATACTTTTAAATATTACTGGATATGATCCAGGTTTTATCGAAGGCCTTTCCTTAACACTGCTCCTGATCTTGAGCCCTAGAAATGGGAGTTAGGCCTTTCCAAAGGAAGAGAGCAGGGGAAGGGTTTGTGTGCAAACCTAGGTGTCCATGCAATTTTTTTTTTCATTGTTATTCTTTCATTCTGTGTGGGTATGACAGATGTTGTGTTAGTCGGTGAGTATGCCATTGATTAATTTTATCTGTTTTTCTGAACGATGTCAAATGAAAAATTTCCCAGGTACGCCCACCAGTGCCAGCCGTCCCACCAGCACCGCTGCGTGTGTCACCGTTCCTGTTCAGCCTGCTGAAGCCAACCAGACAAGATCAACTACAGCTTCATCAGTCACATCATCACAAGCGAATGTTACAGTGACCACTTCTAAGACTTCTTTCACGTCCGTTACAGGTAGGTTCACACTTCCACATGTCGATATGTTGTACAATTCTAGTTGATAGTCTCATTTTACAGTAGGTGCAGTAAAGGGAATATATCTGCATACTGAAAAGCTAGAGCAAGTTTTTTAGTTGGCCACAGTAACGTTCTTCTAAGTGCTCCACACGCTTAATAAGGCTTCACTTAACCTGAGTGACCTGAAATATATAAGAAAAAATACAACTGCAAGTAGTGTGAACTGGCAGCCACCAGCAAGGAGATTAATGATGTTAGGAGAAAGCCTGTTCATTAAGAGCTGGCAGTAGACTTTTGAGTACCACCTCAGTACTTCTTTCATTCCCCCTTCTACAGTATATATGAACACATCTTCACTACTTCCTCTGTCTCAGCTGACCTGTGGCTGTAAAAGTGGCTGGCTTGGTAGCAAGGCTGAGTTCTGTTTGCCCTATTTGTAGCAATGTAGTTACTTTTCTTCTTAAGGGAGAATGGGTTATGGCTATGGATGGTTCACGCTTCATGTGAAAGTTGCCAGGTACACTTTGACAGTATTCTTGAGTACAAAAACAGTAACTGTAGAAATCAGTTTTTCCTTGCAAGTAAAACCTTATTGGGTAGGTCAGCAGAACTTTTATTTGGTTAAGTAACTCGCCTTGTGGCAAATACAAACAGGCACAAACTGGATCATCTTATGGCAGATGAAACCACTTTTCACATGGAAACTTCTTTATCTGAAGTCAGTATTTATCTATGTCATATTTGATCTTTGGGGGACACTTGTGTTTGGCTGTGGAGCTGAGCTCAGTCTAGTTGCTATTAGTTGCAGATTGAGGCAGCGTGCCTATGAGAGTAGAGCAGCCAGCAACTAATAGCCACCAAAAGTACTTTACTCCCATCACTTAACTGTCCTGGCTGACATGGTGGTTGTTGAACCCTGTGTAGGCTGACCCACTGTGTTCTGAGTCAAAGCAGCTTCCTTTTAGGCTAGGTAATTTCAGGCCAAGCTTATTAAATTAAAATGGAGGATCTGAAAAACATGGGACCTGGTGTAAGAGGGGCAGCAGATGTGGAACAAGGAGAGAGTGGAGGAAAACAAGGGAAAGAGGAAGGTGAAAAGGAGAAGTGGCAATCACAGTCTTTCAGAGAGAGTGAGCAGATAGATCAGCTGCTCCCACACCACACTGTGGAACTTTAAAAAATGTTTGTGTGCTTGGCTGTTATCTTGCCAGTTGATCTATGTAAAATTTGTCCAGTTGTCTTTAGATGTGAGTCATCTGGGGAGTGCAGGATACAAAGGAGTCCCTTGAAACAAATCTTGTAAAAACTGCCTTTTGTTTTCTTCTTTCAGCCACATCAAAATCTGAGACTGTCATAGCCAGAGCCTCCAGATTTGACGTGGGCAGTTTTGTAGGTGGCATTGTGCTGACACTCTGCGTCCTAGTTATTCTCTACATTGGGTGCAAAACGTACCACTCAAGAAGAGGCATTCAGTACAGAACCATGTAAGTTTCAGAGGCATTATCCCTAGACTATTCATCTGACTTTCTCAAGGGGAATAAGGAAAATAAAGATATTATTGTGATGTAAATTTATTTAAGTGTAAGAGATTTAACTATGATACTGTGTTTCATCCCTTTAGTGTCTCCTCATTATTCTTATGCCTCTCTTCTGTGTGTTTTAATTTCTTTTTTCCTGTGATCTAGTATATAATTACTATTTCTAGGAGACCCTTGTCTGTCAACTGTTTCAAATTAAGTCACTGTGGTTATTACTTGTGTACTTTCTTCATTTTCTAGTTTGTTCAGTTTTCCATCCCTCACCATACCATTACAAGACTCAACCTCCATCCATGCCAGCTGTGACTGAGTCTCATGGATGACGGTTTCTTCTGTACAACAGCTTTATAAAATAATTGTTCCACACCTGGGGTGCCCTTTACACCTTTGCTCTGCTCTGTGTGTTACATACTGGATTTTTTCGTGGCTGGTATTTGCTTAAATAGTTTGGTGCCAGAAGTATTTCTTCCGTATGTATGCATACTTTCAACTTTCATCCTAATTTGCTAGCACTGTACATACTTCTGCCATCTTCTAGGCCCCTTATGCATTGATTGTTCACAGCAGTATTTGTGAGATGTTCAATATATTTGGTAGGCATCTGATTCTTCTGATACTTTTTTCCTAGACTCATTTGTCTGCTCATTCTTTACCCTCACTCCATCCCCCAGCGTATTGTTCCTGTTATTTACATGACATTTTATTGGAACCCTTTTACTGTGTCTCTTTCATATCACCTCTTACATACCTTCAAGTTTAGTTTGAGAGCCAGTTTCAAAGCCAGACATGTCCTATTCCACTCTCCCTAGCCACCACATTGAAACAGTTCATTTGTTTTCACAGAAAGCATGCAACTGGCAACAGAGCCATTATTCATATTTTTAAGGCTCAGTGTTTGATCGTTGCCAGTGTGAACAAGGCAGCTGGTTGATTTCTAACATTTGTTTTGTTATTTTGTTCCATAAAATTATATGCACTGAATATTCTTCAAGTACTCTAGGCAAGTTTGTAAAATCAGGTAGAATTCACTTAACAGAATATAGACATCTGCACCTAAACTAGTTATATCATTTCTACCACCCTAAAGTACACACTTAAAATCTGCTAGATGAATCAGCCTGCCCACGTTTGTTTGTATTCAGCTATTGAGGGCAGCTAAGAGTGTTCCATAGAAAAATACATGTGAAAAGGTATCGTTTGGCTCCCACCCACAGTCACTTGTTTGTTTTGTGTACACCAGTGACTTTGAGCCTTCTGTGAGCTGCAGCATGCTGTGGAGTGTAGGTCCTACACAGCAGTTACAAACATGCTGACAGTACGCTTTCTTTTCTTGAGTTTCTTTTCAAGATCCTTGAGGTTTTCTGTGAGCTTCAGACAGCATACAGATTGCAAGTGGAAAACCACACTTATAAACATTTTCTCTAGGTATTTTCCCAGGTGGACAAAGTAAAGAGTATGTCAACAGCCTCTTCCAGACAACTCTCTTTTCTGAAATAGGTTTGGGGGCGATCTTGTCTTGGGCTTGGTTTGTCCTTGTCGAACTTCTCTTTTCCTCTCTCCTCAGAAGCATTTGCTTCTGAGAACAAAGCACATTTATAATTCTGAGTTCACACTGTATCTGTCTCAACTGTTCGTAACGAATGCTAAAATTTTGACGGAATCTTATTGGCATGGAATGATTAAGGAAAATGAATTGCTTTTTACTTTACTATTGACTTGCAGAACTTATTTGCCATTTATACCCAACTTTTCTCAGTTTTCTTCCAAGCTTGCATCCTTGTCCCAGTCTTAGTTTAAGCATTGGGAATTCTTAAAACTAAGTTCTTTTCCTATCCAATATCACCCATCTCATTTGAAGCACCTTCTTTTAACTGAGGCGATGTCCCCAGGCTCAGAGACGCCTGCAGCGCCAGGACTAACATGTGCTTGGCCCTTCTCATTAAGATGGCCTTTGTTCACAGAATAGCCTTCTTAGCAGCAACTAGGTGGCAGTTTCTTGTACTGATTGATGGTTGTACTGCAGAACATTAATTAATGTGTTTCTATTACAGTGATGAACACGATGCCATCATTTAAAGAGACTTCACAGAGGACGGTAGTGGAAACCCATCCTGTCACAGCTGTTTTAACTTGCTTCTGGAAAACATTCTTTTCATGATTGCAGTCTCTTAGGCTGTTTGTAAGTGTGATCTGCGAAATTATGAGACTCTCCTATGTGTCCTGATTTTTTTTTTTTGTGTGTGTTAGTTTTGATGAGAACAAGAGGAACTCAGCACTTTTTTGAGAGATTATTTTCTTTTTCCAGTATTTGTAACCAAATTTAAAGAAATCACATTTAAGTCATTTGAAGCTAGACCCACAAGGCTCTCAAATGGGTAACTTGCTAAACAGTAGACCACATCATTACAATTCTAAGTTAAGTTCAACTGTTTCTCACATGTCCCCATAAATCCAGTGTGTACATAATGGGTACTGTAGGAGAGGATGGACTACCTTTGAGACCAAGTGTAAGTTCTTGCAAGTAAAGTTTTTTTTTTTTCCAAATGTTTTGTATTAAATTGTATTTATTTTGAAGTTTGATGTGAACTGTAATTTAGAAACTTGTGGGCTTGAACACTTCAGTTAATTTTTATTAGGATAGTAAAGGGGCAAGACTTGCTAATGGTGTAGATGATAAGTACTGTAAAGTTCAGTCATTAGCTCACCAGTGACTTGTAGAGACTTCCCTTCATAGACCACATGATGAAACTAGCTGCAGGAACCATGGACAGACTGCAGATACCCATCCACAATCCCTTTTTCTAAGAGGGTTCTTATAAAAAAAAAAAAAATAATAAAACAGACTATGCAATCCATAACTGCTATTTAATTGTATATCCTAATGTTCTGATGAAGATGAAGTCAGAATTTTCCCCTCATAGATATGAAAATTTTTGCTGAAATTATATTTTAAGTTGAATGTGGCAATCACTTTACTTGTGTTTTTGTTTTTTTTATTATGAGGGGACTGCATGCAATGTTTTAGCAACATCTGATAAGCATTCAAAGTTACACAGAGAAGTTGAAGATCTGTAGGATATCATTTTAGAAGAATATAATCTGGATTTTCTTAAAGTATTTTCCTAGACAAAATTATCTGAAGGCAACAGGGCCTCTTAGAAAGCCATAGCATTAAGGTCCAAGTTTGCCATTCCTGTGCAGGATGGCAGATGCCGCTTCCATACTGCTATTGCATTTACACTGAAGTAAACTTGCTGCTTTCAGCAGACAGGTACATGATTTACACTGGTGCAGGGAGGAGCACAATGAAAAACAGGAAATGCTTCTCTGTAGCACCAAAAAATTGTTTAGGCCTGTCGAGGCCCCACTTGTAGATCAGGTGATCAGGGTCAGTGTGGTGGCACTTCCCCATCAGGCAGTGCACAGAAGGGAGGTGGTGACACCTGGGGAAGGCCATGCAGGGACTGCTGGCAGGCCTGTCGGTAGTAGAATGTCAGGGGAAGCAGAGCTACAGCTCTGGCACAGATCTATTATTTCGTTGATTCTTACACGTGTGCTTTCCTACAGTATTAAAATGGGTGTGTGAGTCTTCCTTTTTCATATAGAGTAATAAAGCTTTGTCTGAGGCACAAATAAGTCCAACAAATCATGACCTAAAGAAATATCAGCCACACGGGTGAAGTAGGGTTTATATGACTGTTTTGTATTTCACTGAGAGTGAGATAGGGACAAGCAGTAACCTGAAGTAATTTTGCCAGTTTTGTTTTATCGTGTGTATGGTTATTTCTTTTTTTCTTAATGAATTGCCTTGTTTGGTGAATTTTTATTTTTATTTTAACTTGATGATGATTGTTACATAGCATTGCAATTCTTTACTTTGTAGAAATTAAGAGAATTCAGTGCAACCCTGTTACTGGGATTGCCTCGCCTCTGTTGTGCAGACGAATAAAGGAAGTTAAATCTTTGGAGTTAATGTATCAATTTCAATTGGATTTTTATTTTATTAAATGCTCTTATAAGTTCTTCAGCCATTTCTACAGTCACAGCAGTGGAAGAAGTGTTCACTCTGTATACTTTTCAATGACCAGAACCACGACACTTCTGTCCAGCTCAGTTGTGTAGCATACTTACTTGCGGGTGCCATATTTTAGTTGTTCCTTAACTCAGCTAGGCTTTATTTATATGGTAAAGATTATTCAATACTGTTTGTAGTCCATGCATCCACCAGGACACTGAAGCTGTTTGGTTTTTAAGAGTGCTGGTGCCTGAGCAAATACTGTTCATGTTTCTCCCTTTTTATTAGGAATCCCTCTGGTGACGTGTCACAGAACTGCATTTGCAGGGTCATGGTTTAAGACTGTCACCAGCAGTCAGCTGATTTCACTTTTTCACACAACCCAGACATTCACTTTTAATTACTAAAATTCACATTTTCACAGAATCGCAGAATTGTAGGGGTTGGAAGGGACCTCCAGAGATCATCGAGTCCAACCCCCCTGCCAAAGCAGGTTCCCTACAGCAGGTCGCACAGGTAGGCATCCAGGCAGGCCTTGAACATCTCCAGAGAAGGAGACTCCACCACCTCCCTGGGCAGCCTGTTCCAGTGCTCCGTCACCTCACTGTAAAGAAGTTCTTGTGCACATTTGTGCAGAACTTCCTATGCTGCAGTTTCCGGCCGTTTCCCCTTGTCCTGTCTCCACTCACCACTGAAAAGAGTCCGGCCTCGCCATTCTGCCCCCCACACCTCAGATATTTATAGACCTGGATCAGGTCCCCTCTCAGTCTCCTTTTCTCAAGGCTGAACAGACCCAGTTCACTCAGCCTTTCCTCATAGGAGAGATGCTCCAGGCCCTTCACCATCTTTGTGGCCCTCCGCTGGACTCTTTCCAAGAGATCCCTGTCATTTTTGTACTGGGGAGCCCAGAACTGGACGCAGTACTCCAGATGAGGTCTTACCAGGGCAGAGTAGAGGGGGAGGATCACCTCCTTTGACCTGCTGGCCACGCTCTTTTTAATGCACCCCAGTAAGCCATTGGCCTTTTTGGCCACAAGGGCACACTGCTGGCTCATGGCCAACCTGTCATCCACCAGGACACCCAGGTCCTTTTCCGCAGAGCTCCCCTCCAGCAGGTCATCCCCCAACCTGTACCGCTGCATGCAATTATTCCTCCCCAGATGCAAGACTCTACACTTGTTTTTGTTTTTATACTTCCACATTAAAAATGAATTCACTTACTCCCTAATGCAATCTTGGGAAGTCATTCACTGACTGCAGAACAGAGCCACTTTTGGGCACAGATCCAGAATGTTACTTTTTTCCTTCCTAAGTAATAAAAAATGAAATAATAATAGTAATAATAATAATTACGAATAATAATAATTAAGAAGTCTCAGGACTTTAACATTCCTCCTTCCTCCCACAGCTCTTTTTTATGCAACACTCCCCACCCTTGTACTTTGCTGTTAATTCATAGCCTTTTCAGTTTTACTTTTTGGAGCCCAATATCAATGGCTTCAAGGCAGTCCAGAAATGTTAGAATGCTATATTTGGTTAAAAAAAAAAAAAAAAGTATTAAGCTGATCAAAGTAACATGATCTTGCTTTTGGTAATTTGTACATGATCCCTTTGTAAAGCAGGTTTCATACAGTTCCTTTTTGTTCAGACTTACAGCTCTAATGTACTCATGGCATTCTCCCTTTTTGCCCTGAAGATCATTCTTAATGTGCTTTACTGAAAAAGATACCAATAACAAAACAACAATTCTGTATAGATCAAATGTTGCCAAAAGCAAAACAAGTACAATATCATCAGAGACTGAAAATTGCATAGGTAATGCAAGAGGTTAAGAATTTAGTTGTGATACAGAAGCAGATAGGAACCAAAGCAGGCCTCTGCAGAATATGAACTTGCTCTCTAGACTGCGCTCAGCTATTTAACTCTCATAGAGGTGGCAGTCTTAAAGGCAGGAAAGTTATGCAAATGTAGGTATTTGCATTTGAGTGTTCTCCCCAAAAGTACAGTTATGGAGACTGTTTATTCCTCATGTTGATCCTACAGTGCCCAGGCTGTACCTTGCATTAGAATTTAGTGTTTGCTTCACTGTAAGGCACGTTGAGGACTGGCACAATGATTATTCTTCAGTGTCAGGACATTGCTGTGCTTCAGAGTGCCAAATCCAGTAATGTAAATTGGAACTCAGAAACCACGGTGTTGCACCCAGCCAGCACGGAAGTGGAGGATGCTTCTAAACAGGGCTCATCACAAAAGAAAAGCAACAAGTGATTGTAAAAACGGGATGGCTTTCCATTGTCATTGTTGTGTATTTGACAATTTTCTAGGCTTCATTCTTCGCTGGCAACTGAAGCTGTCTTCCAGATCACAATGCTAACTAACATGCTGCTCTCCGTAAGTATCCAGCATTTCATATTTCTCTGTGGAAAGAGTCGAGCATCAGTGCGGCAAGCTGGGTAGATTTGAGTGGAGGAGATGAAGATGTGACTAACGGAAGTCACATGAGTGCTGAAAGGTTTTTCTAAAAATAAGCAGCAGGCCAAAACTAAATGTGAAGGCCACTTCTAATGCATGGCTTGTCACACAAATGACTTCATACTGTGTTTAGCATATTTTGTGCTACTTTGACTTGTTCAAATGGAAAAAGTGACTCACTTTTTCTCTTTTGAAAATAGAACAGCAGGATCTGCTGTTTGAAGTTCCGCTTTTCTTGTCTACAGAACGTAGACAATACTTCAGAGTCCTGACCTGATGGATCCTAAGCCATCAGTGGGTCAGCAAGGGAGCTGGACTGGATTCTCAGCAGCTAAGTACTGGAGATTTTCTATTTCCTTAGGAGCAAGAGTAACCAACAGTGAGTAGTTAAAGCAGAGAATGCTTCTTTTTCAGAATATACCTCCTGCCTGAATTCATACACTGAGGTGGGTCATTTAGGACTAGCAAGAGAACTGAAGGTGCAGGTTTGGCACATCTGCTACACTAAGCATAATACTGTATGCCCTAGGCTCACTATGCAACAGTTGCCACAACGCAGCGTTAAAGGCAGATGAACGCTAATTCCACATGGTTCTCTTCTGATGTCCTGTGAGGGTAGGCTGAAAGACTGCAAGAACTAAGTCTTGAGAAAGTCTCACTATGATGTTACTAAAGAACTGCTGATCGTCATAAAAAAGTGCAACATAAAGCTCTTTTCTAGACTGTGCTAATGTTGTTCCTTGATATTTCATGCATGGCCATCCATTTCAGCAGATGAGAGCAGTGCTCCATTACAACGTCTGTTGTCCATCTTGATCTTAGAATCATAGAACAGTTTGGGTTGGAGTGGACCTTATCACCCAGCTCCAACCCCTGCCATGGGCTGGTTGCCCCCACCAGCTCAGCTGCCCAGAACCCATCCAGCCTGGCCTTGAGCACCTCCAGGGATGGGGCACCACAGCTCTCTGGGCAGATGTGCCAGGACCTCGCTGCCTTCTGAGTAAACAATTACCACCTAACATCTAACCTAAACCTCCCCTCTTTTAGTTTAAAGCCACCCCCTCCTGTCATTATCAGACTGCATAAAAAGTCTCCCTCCTGCTCATAAGCTCTCTTCATGTACTGGAAGGCCACAGTGAGGTCTCCCTGCAGAGCACAAGTGGCAGGGTCAGCAGAGCTATGCAGGAAGTGGGGCTGGAGGGACTTTGGGCTGAACTGTGGGAAGACCTGCACAACAGTTGTGGGACCGCAAAAATGACACAGCTCTTCAGCTTCCCCAGTAAAAGCTCTGGAAAAATGCTTTCAAAGGAGGAGATAAGTGCAGAATGAAGTAGGTTCACAAGTAAGAAATGACTGTTCCTCTCCAAACATTGCTGAACACTGTGCAGACTGCCTTCTGTATGGTTTAACATTTTCCTAGATTCTGTTTACAAAGTGCTGCAGACAGTTTTACACAGCTGTCTTGGAATAGCGCTGAGAGCATAACTGCAGTGGCACAGAATTACCAAGCAGGGCAACCACAACCAGAGCAGGGAGGGGCAGAAAGCTGTAACCTAGATTGGCCTTCCTGCCAAAACTGGGTCAAGGAACTTTACCCAGTGCTTTCTAAATTAACTTCTCCCACTTCTCAGAATGCAGCTCTGCTGCCAGTGCTTCTGTGAGATGCCTGGGACTTTGAAAGCACTCAGCAGGCAGGGACAATTTTATATATATATTTATATATATATTAGGGCCTGAGATACCCTCAGACACCAGAAATGCCATTCACACCTGCATGAAGCACCTGAATCACTTGTTGCTAAAGCCCCGTATATGCTGACGTCCGAACTGTATGCAGTTACTGATATTGAAAAACACTGGCCCCATATAGGTCTAAAGAAAAACACAGCACAGTAATGGTTTGCCTGCTCCTGTTTTGCCCTACTATCTTCTCCAGGTCCCTCTTCAAAAAGCAGGGCTTCCACACCAGCACTTCTTGTTAGCCCTGCTCCTGCTCCCCATGCAGACTCTACCTTCATCAGTATGAAGTACAGCTGGTTCCAGTATTGCTGCTTTCCAAGTTTGAACATCAACTTCCAAGTCATACACCTTACGCCCTATCAAGTTGGGGGTTTTTTGTTTGTTTGTTTGTTTGGTTTTGGTTTTTTGTTGTTCTTTTTTTTTGTTTGTTTGTTTGGTTTGTTTTTTAATCATCTTTAGCTTTGTAAGACAAAAGAGCCTTTAGGAAGTTCAAAAGCAGAAGGATGTTAATCAAAGCTGCTTAAAGTTATGTTCTATGTTTGAAATATTTGCATTTTATATTGCAAAATTAAAGGAATTACATATAATACAGTTGGACAAAAGTACAGCTAAAGAATCCTATGCACTGCAAGGTACGTATGTGAAAGTGGTGCTAGCTGTTGTACAGTATTAAAGCAGCACTGCGTAAACTATGGAAGAATGGATGAAGTCAGCATCACTGAATTCACACTACAAACATGT